GAGAACAAATATGGGAATGTCCCACTCATATCACAATGTTTCATCTATGGGGAAAGTAGTGATGTCTTTATCATTGGTATTTTCGTGTTAGAAGAAGACAAATTGAAAGAAGTTTTAAGAGGAATTGGTGTTGAGTATACAGATGATAAAGACAAAATGAAGACAATCCTCAACTCAATGGATGTCCGTAAGAAGGTTTTAAGTGTTATTCAAAATGGAATTCGAATGATGAACGTCCCAGGCTATGAAGTCGTGAAAAACTGTTACTTCGAAACAGAGCCTTTCTCTGCTGAAAATGATTTACTCACTCCATCTTTCAAACTAAAAAGAACACAAGCTAAAAAGAAATACATAGAAATTACTAAGATATTAAGAGCGGAAGTTAACAAAGGAATAATTTAATGTTGTATGAGTGAATAGTTTTCAAATATTATTAAAGTAATTAAAGTAATTAAAAAACTATACAAACAAATGTACTATACAATAATAACATCTTTATATTATAATTATAATTTTGAACACCTTTAATTATAATATAATATAATATAATATAATATAATATAATATAATATAATATAATATAATATAATATAATATAATATAATATAATATAATATAATATAATATAATATAATATAATATAATATAATATATAGTCGGGGGATAAATGGCATTAAAAAGGGACAAAGGTAGTTAATTTTGATAAATATAATTTTGAAACTATAATTTTTAAAAAATCTATTTAAAGGTCAAAATAAACATAAAATTAAAATATTAATTTAAATTATAGTTTTTTAATTTTAAATGATTATAAATTGAATAATTATAAATTTCTATTTCAAAAATAAACAAAAACACCTCAATTTGTTCACTTAGAGAAATGTGGAAGTCTAAAACGCAGCACTTTTTGTGGTTTGTCTGAAACTTGTTTTGTTAAAGGATTTTCCTTTGTTTTTTCCTTTGTTTCGTTTCTTTTCTGCTCTTCTTCAACTCCAATTGTTTTGGTGTTAAAATGGTCTTTCTCTTTTCCTTTCTCAATGGGAATGGTTCAACAACGAAAGATTAAAAGATTTCAACAAATGATGGATTTTCAGTGATTCTCTGACACTTTAAAAGATTGACATTGTAGTTAATTCATTAAACTCTGGCATTTTAACCATATACATCATGAATATATATTGAAATACAGTTTTTAAACTGGTTTCTTGTATTTAAATTGCTTTTTTTGTGTTGATTGCCTGTGGTTGTTTCATCGAGGGTTCCTTACTCTTCTTCTTCCATTGTTTTCAAAGATTGAATAATATCAAAAATAGAAAGTTATGGTTTTCTTTTATTATCTTCAAAGTAGTTAATTGAAAAAACCCTTCTAATACTTTTATGGTTAAAGAAATTATATTTTATAGTTTTTTACTCAAATTAACTACTTCTGTCCCAAATTAACCCCCTTTATCACCCGACTATAATATAATATAATATAATATAGTATTTTTATTATTTGTCAAACGAACAATATTTATAATAATTATTATAATAATATTCCTAGTAATAGTATTATAATAATTATAATATAGTATTATATATATATAATTACTATATAGTAATTCATATAGTAATATTAATAATAATATTTATAAGAATTATTATAATATAGCCAATTGACTGCAATAACCGTCTCTAACATAATAAAAAATAAATAGAGTTTTAGACATGAGAAAGGTTTTCGAAAATTGGGAGTCGTTCACTGTCGTCTTCCGGTGAGAGTTCTGAGAAGTTCGACGAGGGTGACTCTGCCTGTTCGCTGTTAGTTTCGTCAGGGAGGACATGAATGAAGCGACAACGGCTGCCGTATTTACAGGATCCCGTTTGTTGGAAGGTTTGGCAGATTTCCGTTTTATATCTTGGGTGGCGTTGGACGGGACGGAGTTCTTTTTCGCCGTGTGCGAATTGACATTTTGCGCCATACCTACAAGTTCCAGTTTCGACGTAGCTTCTGCACAGTTCGGTCTTATAGAGTGAAGTATTAATATTAGTGTTCGAAGATGGGCCATCGGGGCATGAAGTAATAGTTGAGAGGGTCGATCGACGTGGTGAATGTGATAAACTTGGCGTCGATGGTGCACTCGATACTACTGCGGAATGTGAGAGTTGATCTTTTCTTGTTGGTCTCGAGCCCATGATAGGAGATGCGTTCCCACTTCTCGATGGGCGATATGGCTCCGCCAATGTCGAGAATACAAACCCAGACGCAGTGAATGACCCACTTGGCACGGATTCGGTTTCTTTAGTCGGTATTGTCCTCGACAAAGAAGAGGTGTGTTTCCTCTCAGTCTTCCTCATTACATATTCAGTTTTTTGCACCTCTTTTTTCAAACTGCTTTGTTTAGTTTCGTTTGACTCTTTTACTATTAAAGTATAGTTCTGTTTCATCAGTCTATTTTTTAAGCTGTTACGGTGGAAGCTTCTTTCTTTTTTCATATATAGTTATATATAGATTTATAGATACTAGACGGTTGAAAGTGCTATTGAACGGGAAATTGGTTCTAATTTTAAATGTTCGATTTTTTTTGTGTTTTGTTCTATAATTGGTTTACTATATATTTATAGTTTATTATAATACTTGATAAATATCACTATAACAAATATTGTAATAAAAATATAATACACAATAATATAAATGAGTGGTATTTTTTTAGTTCATATTTTGCTTCACCAATCACACAGACAAATAAGAAAAGTTTTTATTGTAACAAAATAGTTCTTTTATCTTATAATTTATTAATGTTTATTAATATTTCTTAACATGAACTTGCGCTTGATTTTTGTCTTTATTTGTATAACATCCATTTCTCTTTCATCAAAAGTGTCAGATCGAGATTGAAAAGAATGGAAAGAGAAGTATTGATTAGTCATCCAAACACAAGGCGCCCTCATTTTTCCAGACTTGTGCGGTGATGAGAGTCCCTGCATTTTGTTTATCGAGCATACCGGCTCCCATCCACATCGCATACTTTGCGTTCTTATCTGCGGTCACGTTAATTTTGAAATTGAGAGCTTTCATGATGTCACCCTCAATTCGTTCTTTAATGCCTTTGATCATTGCACCACCACCCACCAACACGACTTCATTGGTCGTACCATTGATGGAGCGCAAAACCTTTTCAACCATTTGACTTAATCCATTGCACGACATTGAACACAATTGTGGATTGAACAATGGCTCAAAGCATTGTGTTCGTGAGTTGCCAACATTAATTAAAGTGCCATCAGGCATGTCATATTTCAGACTTGGAGCTGGTGCACCGTCGTTCGCAATATACCCAACACACTCTTTGATTTGTCGCGATATCACTTTCTCGCTCGATGTGCTCCCAAGGTTGACTCCTTCTTTTGTTAACAATGTGGCAAAGACTTCTGTACACTTCACTCCAGCAATCGGCATCTTCTCCGAAATCTCTTTGTAGACAACACCGTTCACTACTGGGATCGCCCAACTCATCATCCCTCCAATGTCAACAACAATACACGACGGCTTCTTATAATACGCAGACACCGCAAGCGCCTCATCGACAAACCTCACGCTCTCGGCTTCTTCTTTAAATAACATCTCGCACATATTGATCTTCATTTGCAGTGGCGCAAGTGGGTTCATAACTACTACAACGGGATGACCCTTCGCTCTCTCCATCGTGTATTGAAGTACACGACCAAGCTTCTCAAAGTCAACCGGATCCTTCTGCATGGGGTACGTCAAAGTAAGAATTCCACGTTTTCCAATCGCGTCATCTCCAACATAGATGGGTGGCGTGCCAAGCATATTTGCTTTATGGAGGTTCTCCCCAACGACATTCGCCGTCAACAACGTCGGGTTCCCCGCACTTTCAAATCCCGCTTTGATAATACAACTTCCAACATCGATAATGAAATGTTCGCCGGGTTTTCCCACTCGAACTCCGACACTCTTGACTTCTTGTGGTTGATGTACGACTTCTGGAGTTGAAACAAATTGTGGCTTGAAAGTCTCTTTATTTTTGATTTCAAGTTGGAACACGTTTTTGACTTGTGTTTGGTTGTGGTAGATGGCAATCGCGTAATTTCCAACGACAGGAGGAATGTAACAAAAATCGTACTGTCCATTCATTAAGTCAGTCTTGTCCGCAACTATTCTGACATCACCGGGCCCCGCTACATACGCAACAAATGGTTCCCCACCTTTCCCAACTGTTCTCCCATTCTGGTCTTTAGCAAAGACCGTGAAGAATTGTTTTTCGTTGACATACCCTCCATTCAATCCATTGCCTTCGACAAGGCACTGATTTAAATCCACCATGGAGCCTTCTTTAATGTGAAGCTTTCCGACTTGGTTCATTTGTTTGTCGTTGATGTACACCGCGATTAAGTAGTCGCCTTCATAAGGTGGGTCGAATGACAAATCATATGTTCCATCGTGTAAATCCTTCACATCACCAACTATCTTCGCGTTGTTTGGGCCAGCAATGAAGACTTGGACTTTGTCACCTCCTTTACGGATATTCCCCGTCGAGTTTCTTGTCAACACACCAAACACATATTTGACGTATTGGGTGCCTTCTGGTAATTTCGACAATTCACAACGAGACGCGTCGGCAGGAAGAGCGTCTTCTGGGTTTTGTGTTGGGACGGCAGCTGTTGTCGTTTGAAGGTTATTTTCCTTTGCGATGTTGTCGAGGTAATACTCGATGACGTCAGAGTCGATATTTCTCGAGGAAAGTCGTGACATCAACTTTGCTGAGACGACCTTTGAATTGACGCAGTCTTCGGGGAACGTCTTTCCAAATTTGTCGATGAGCATGTTACGCATTTCCATCATCTCTGTGTGGTCTGGGAAGTACGGCGATGCGTAGAGAATAGCACCACAAGCAGCTTTAAGTTCTAATGGGCAAATTCGTTGTGAAGCAATGACCTCGGAGTTCTTTTGAAGCTCATCAATGATATCCACTAATTCCTCTAAAGCTTCACATTTGTAGTCCTCTTGAACAAGTATCGCGCACTTGTCGTAAGCCTTTTCGCGCTCATTGTTCTCCAAGAAGGTCAAAATCTGCTTTTTCAAAGAGCGGGAGTTGGTGACATACTTCCTTTTCTGGGCATCTATTCGGCGTTGTGCACACTGGCACCTAACCATAAATTCATTTCCACTGAACTTTGGCTTCCCAAAGAAACTCATCTGGATTTTGTCGTTTGAGTATTTAAAGATCACGACTTCTTTATTGGAATTATCTTCACCATTTTATCCATTTTGACTCGATTATTCATTAACGATTTGACCAAAAGTTTCATTTTTATTTCATCATCAAATTCCTCTTTCTCTTCAAGGAATTGTTTATTAGGTTTAAAACTAATTGTTATAGTTTCAATAAATGATCTGTTATAAACATCAAAATAAATATGTCAAGTTTGTTTTGTTATATATAACAGTAAATAACAATATAATAATTTTAGTTAGATAATAATAGTATTTTGATATGGTTAATTGTATATGAAAAATGTTATTAACAATAGTATAATAATAACAAAATGTTGACTTTTGTAAAAAATGTTTTTTATTTCTATACAAAAAAGACAACCTATAAATAATATAGTAAATATTGTAATTTAACACAAATTAACTTGTCAGGAATTTTCTAGCAAATCCAAACTTTTAATAAACTAAACAAAATCTATAAGTTAATAAAAAGAAAAAGGTAGAAAATAATCAAAGGCCTTTTTCAGAACAAAACCGAGTTAACGACGTCACAAAAAGTAAATAATGCCGTATATTCCGCATTTTAACTAAATGAATTATAAAACAAACAATAAACTATTAATAAATAATTATTATTAATATTAATATTCTAAATGACAACATAAACTATAAAAAAGCACCAATTTATTCAAATTGTCGAATTTGTTGAGAAAAAAATGCAAAAAACGCGAAGATTTTAATGCCAAAAAGAGAGAGCTGAATTCACATGGAATTCAAGGGAAGAAAACAGAAATGGAGTATTTCCACAAAAGGTGCAGTGAGTTGGTGACGCAATACGAAACTCCAGATTTCTGGACGAGTGCAAAGAGCTGACATTCCCCTGTTTTCACTTTTGCTCCACAAAAATTAGGTTTTGGTGGTGTGTTATATAAAAAGGAACTTCTTCTCATTTGGCACGGAATGTCGACTGAGAGTACCAAATATTGGAGTAGAATCAACACTGACCCTTTGAAAGTCAATTCGTGTGAACCGATTCATGTCTTAGTTACTGGTGCAGCTGGTCAAATAGGGTACAACTTAACGTTCTTAATAGCACATGGGTTAATGTTTGGTCCGAGTCAGACAGTAGTTCTTCATTTGTATGATATAGTAGTCGAAGCGATGGAAGGCGTCAGAATGGAAATCACTGATTGCTGTTTCCCATTAGTTAAAGGAGTTGTTGCATCAAATAAGACTGAAGTAGCCTTTAAAGATGTTGAGACTGCTATCTTAGTTGCTGGGATGCCAAGAAAGGTTGGGATGGAACGAAAGGAATTGATTGGTATTAATACACGTATTATGAAGGAACAAGCACTTGCTCTGAAGAACTACGCGAGCCCAGATGTCAGAGTCTTGGTCGTTGCAAATCCGGCGAATACTAACGCGCTTGTCGTCGCAAACAACGCTGGCATCGATGTCAAGCAAATCACGTGTTTGACTCGACTCGACCAGAATAGAGCAATCGCACAAATAGCATTGAAACTCAATGTCAATGTCGAAGACGTTAAAGACGCATTTGTGTGGGGAAATCACTCGGAAAAGCAGTGTCCTGATATCTACCACGCTACACTCTCTACCCCTCTTGGCTATAAAAAAGTCACTGAAATAGTCGAAGCGTCTTGGTTGGAAGCATTCAACAAAATCGTCCAGGAAAGAGGAGCAAAAGTAATTGAAATGAGAAAGGCATCGTCAGCTGCGTCTGCAGCTAAAGCAATTGTCGACCACTTCAGAGACTGGACTTTGGGGACTGACAAAGAGAAAATCGTGTGTATGGGAATTTATAGCGAAGGACAGTACGGGATCCCAAAAGGAATCTTCTTCTCAATGCCAGTCATCTGTTATGGCGGTGAATATCACGTTGTAGACGACTTGGTCCTTGACCCAAGTACTAAAGAAATGCTTAAAAACTCCGAAGAGGAGTTGATCGAAGAAAAGAAACTTGAATTGGCTTTTGAAGAGATTAAACAAATGTCACACGTGCATGAGTGATCTAAATGATGTAATACTTTAGTGGTCTTTTATTATAGTTTTTGATGGTATTATAACAATTAGTAATATTATAATAATTACTATTTATACTATAAATATAGTTTTTTTAATATAATAGTAATAAATTAAAAAAATGGAAAAAAATCTTTTTTCTTTTTTCTATAGGTTTTACTTTAATTGAAATAATTAAATTTTTACTATAAAAACAAACACTATTTCTCTTTTTATTTACGATATTAATAAACCCTAATACCAACAAACGTTTTCATTTTTATTACCCTTTTTTTATTTGAGAATGTTTTTTAAAAGAGGAATAACAATCCCGGATTTTATCGATTAAAACGTGCGATAAAAATTCAATTTAGAGTATTTTTAGTTATTCTTCCCGCTTTTTGGCCTCTGTTGTCGAAAATTGGAAGAAAAGATGAAACTGTAAAAAAGAGGAAGTAACAGTTAACCCATTTTGCGAATAAAAATTTGAGGATATAACTATTTGTTTTTTAAAGAGTTAATTTATTCAATAACGGGAATGATGCCTAAATAAAAAATGTAAAAAAAATTACGGTAATAAAGGCATATCATTTTTTATGGTAAAACAGTAGTTTAACCCTAAACTGAAATAGTATGAGTAATTTGATTAAAGACTGGCATTACTTACATTAATGTATATTTGCGTATGATATTCTCTTAAATGCCATACTAATCAATAAATATGTACTATTATAATAATATTAATAGTATTTTATGATATAAAACAGTTGCGTTGGCATATTAAAGAGTAGAGTACTCTATAGACTGTAATTTAATTAAAAAACCAACGAATAATAACGTGGTCAGACGTGTGTTTTAAAGATCTATTAATGAAAAGAGGTTTACAGAACTTCAAAAAAGAAGATGGGACAAGACAACTCAAAGCAAGAGAAACAAAGGAAAGAGTACAGTGGGGATCAATCTGCAACAACTCCATTTGAAATTAGTGGCAAGCAATTGTACGACTTAGTAGGAAACAAAGATGCCGAGTCATACAACAAATTAGGGGGCACTGCTGGGATTTGCAAAATTTTAAAAACCGACCCATCGAAGGGTCTTGATTGCACTGATTTAGACAAGAGATATGCGCAATATGGTCAAAACAAATACCCCGACCCGGTCATGAAATCGTTTTTGACTATGGTTTTAGAGTCACTCAATGATAACACTATCATCATTTTAATAGCATCTGCTGTCGTTTCATTATTCCTTGCATTTGTTGTTCCAAAGAATGACACATGTGGTGAAGAAGAAATGGCGACGGATTGGATCGAAGGTCTTGCTATTCTATGTGCTGTCTTTGTTGTTTCATTTGGGTCCTCCATTTCGGACTATTCCAAGCAAAAGAAGTTCTTACAACTTTCCAAAGACGAGAAGAATGTCAACATTAAAGTCGTTCGAAAAGGTGAAAACCAATTAGTTTCTATTTTAGAATTAGCTGTTGGTGATTTAGTGAATTTAGATGTCGGTGATGTGATACCAGCTGATGGTATTTATGCTAGTGGATATGATTTGCGAGTCGATGAATCGGATATGACTGGTTTGTTTATTAACATTGATATTAATACTACTATTATTGTTTTATACTAATAGTATTAATAAAATAATTATAACTTAATAGTAACCCACAGGTGAACCGATTGCTGTGAGAAAGAGTGAGAAGTACTATGTTATGATGTCGGGAACCAAAATCACTGATGGCAATGGACAAATGATAGTCACATCTGTTGGACTTAATTCCTTGTGGGGTAAAACAAAAGAATCATTAAGTCAAGACAAACCACGACCAACCCCACTTCAAGAACTGTTGGACAAGTTAGCGGAACAAATTGGGAAATTAGGGTTTGGCTGTGCTTTGATAGTCTTCTCTATTTTAGTAGTGTATTGGGTCATCGATGCTATTAATTACTCGGACGTTTTAGTGTGCGACAACAATCCATGCAAACAGTGGACTGATGCGGACAAATTGACTCATCAATGTGAGATGGTAGGTTTTAATTGGAAACATTTGACTGCAGTAGTTGATTACTTGATCACCGCTGTTACTATTGTGGTAGTTGCTGTGCCAGAAGGTCTTCCTTTAGCTGTCACTATATCTTTGGCATATTCCATGAAGCAGATGATGAAAGATAACAACTTAGTGAGACATTTGAAGGCGTGTGAAATCATGTCGAACTGTTCGAACATCTGCACAGATAAGACTGGAACACTTACTGAGAATCGAATGACTGTAGTTAGTGGATGGTTTGGAGGAGAGACTATGGAGAGAGGAAAATACTTCTCACTTGGTGGGACGAGACTTGGGGACGAGATTTATAACAACATTGCCATCAACAAATCTGTTTCCACTGCAGTCTATGAAGAGGATGGTATTATGAAAACTATTGGGAATAAGACTGAGTGCGCCTTACTTGGATTTGTCTTAAGACAACACACAGAATACATCAAAAGAGCCGAGAATTTGGCACCAAAGATCTATCAACAATTTGCATTCTCCTCTGCTCGAAAGAGAATGTCCACGTTGGTATTTAACGAAGACAAGTCTGTCCACATGTTCTTGAAAGGAGCCCCCGAAGCCGTCTTAGCAAAGTGCAGTAAATACATGAAGAAAGATGGATCGATTTCTGACTTGACTGATGTGGAGAGAAAGGTGTTAAGTGATTTCCAAGAGTCATGTGCAAATCAAGGCATGAGAACTTTGTCATTGGCAATTCGAGATCTTCCACCAAAGGATGCTAACAACTTTGAAGAGAAGTTCACTGAAAGTCCAGAGGAAGAGTGCGTGTTACTTTGTGTCTTTGGTATTGAAGATCCATTACGACCAGAAGTTATTCAGGCCGTTGCTGATTGCCATAGAGCTGGTATAACTGTTCGTATGGTTACTGGTGATAATGTGTTTGTCTTTCTATCAACTAATAGTAATAATATTATAAATATTAACAACTTAGAAACACGGGGAAGTCGATTGCCAAACAGTGCAAAATTGTTGAAAGCGATAACGACACGTGTATTGAAGGACCAGCGTTTGCTAAATTGACTGACGAACAAATCGATGACTTACTCCCAACCCTTCGTGTGATTGCAAGATGCAGTCCGCAAGATAAGAAGAGACTTGTGAATCGACTTATCTTGAAAGGAGAAGTAGTTGCTGTGACAGGGGATGGTACTAATGATGTACCTGCTTTGAAAGAAGCTGATGTAGGTCTTGCCATGGGTATTCGAGGTACTGACGTTGCCAAACAAGCCTCAGACATTGTCATTCTTGATGATAACTTCAATTCTATAGTGAAAGCCGTCATGTTTGTTATTTCATAAGTTACAAAGAAGTATTCACAAAGTAGGTGGGGGAGATGTGTATACGACAACATTCGTAAATTCCTTCAGTTCCAATTGACTGTGAACGTTGTTGCGCTTGCGTTGTGTGTGATAGGTGCTATTACTAAGATGGGTAGTCCATTGAAAGCACTTCAGATGTTGTGGGTCAATATGATTATGGACACATTGGCTGCACTTGCTTTAGGTACTGAGAAGCCAACGCCATCGTTGTTGGATAGAAAGCCATTTGGAAGAAAGGCTTCATTGATCTCGACTCATATGATTCGAAATATTGTAGTCCAAGCCACATACCAACTCTTTGTATTACTCTTCTTGTTATATTGTGGAAGATATATCACATTCTTGGGTGCACCATGCGCTTATGTCAAACATGGAGACTTTGGAAAATTCATGTGCGCCGATGGGGAATTACATTCAGTCGGTAAAATTGAGAAACATACAACAATCGTCCAGACTATGATCTTTAACGCTTTTGTGTTCTGCCAAATCTTCAATGAAATCAACTCAAGAAAGGTCAACGGAGAGAAGGACGTCTTCGAAAATTTCTTCTCGAATTATATGTTTGTCGGAATCATCGCTATGACATCAGTCGTTCAAGCACTCATTGTCGTCTTCGCCGGACCAATCTTCTCAGTCACTCCATTCCCAGGAATTAACTTCGTCCAGTGGATGTTCTGCTTGTTCTTGTCTGCTATGTCTTTGGTTGTTGGACAATTTGCTATCAGATTCCTCCCAGCTGAGAAGTTCACGCACCTCAAAGACTTGATTCTTGGTGCAGAAAAGGAGAAACAGGACTAATCCAATTTTGAATTGAATTCAACTCTTATTTGGTTATTTAACCTTACAATTCTTTTTTTTCTTTTATAAAACGTTTTTTGGAAATAAATGCTTTGTTGATGAAAACGCCAATACTGTTTGTGTTTTAATTAAAACATTTCCAAAAATTGAAGAAAAGAGAAAAACCTATAAATGATTATTTGCCGGATTGGTTTGTTTACTGTTTACATTTCAAAAGAGTCGCCACAAAGTTAGTTTTTTTTGTATATCATATCAAGTTCAAAAATATTAAATTTGTGTTTTATTTAAAACAGTAACAGTATCGTAAGGTCAAACTTTCACTTCTTCCTTGTAAAAAGCATTATTAAAGATTTACAAAGAATGTTTATAAAAGAAGAAAGAATTCATCGACTTTTCAGATTCAGAGTAATTACTCTGGATATTATTTTATAATAAATAAGATGAACATTGTGAACGACTGGTTTAAAACTTAAAAGTCATTTTTAAACTATTTATGGATGTAAAATGATAAATAATGATCAACTTTGTTATGAAATAAATCTGTTTATTAAAGATATTTGATTTGAATAGAACGTTTGTAAATAAAAGTTAGGTGCATTTTCATTAAATGATTATTATTTTATTTATAGAACAACATTAAATAGGTATACTTTTTGGATGACTAAACTTTTGAAACATACAATGAATACAAGTATTGACTTACTTGATGTACAAAACATGATGTATCTTCTTTATAATAGTTGTGAACTTGGTGAAAAGGATCGTAGACATATTATTGACTTGTTTCATTTCTTTAATGACAATATAGATGACACATTAGTAACAAATTCTTTCTCTGATTTTAAAGACAATATACTAAGATCTGTACATGAATATTTTAGAAATCTAATTGATTACACTTTAAATACTCTTTCTGCGTGCTCATCCTTTATTTCTTCATGTGTTAAAAATGAACAGAATTTGCAACAACTTAAATTCAGTATTATTGAAGGTCTCAGTATGTCCAATGGTTTTATTGTTATTAAAGAAATAATTGACTATATTAACTCGAGTGAAATAAAAAGTATGTTAAATCAATATGAAGATATTATAAAGTATATCATTTCGGCTTCCATGTACTTTGAACATACATATCCACAAAGTAAAAATCTTGACATAGTTGTATTTAATGGAGTATGTTTACAATTGTCACCAGAAATTGTGTATGAACAAAACGTTACAAATGAACATTATTTAAATGCTCTTAATAAAATACTCAACATTTTCGATGTTATAAAAGAAAGAAAATGTTTTGTACGTCGTGTACTGTCCAACACATCTTTATTTAAAAATTTATTTGATGAGTTTCTATATGACATACAAAGTACAACCGAAGTGTATAAATTTATTCTTTCAGAACAACAATTTCTCAACACTGAATTTGTGCTACCATTTGTAACATCATCAATTAATATCAAAAATGAAGTGTTGTATTTAAGTATTCCTCAAACAACAAAAGAAGAGACTTACAATTTACAAGAAAAGGTATTTGAAATACAAAATGGTGTCTTTTGCGACATTCAAATCCATTGCTTATTCAAAATCCTCGATTTTCCAATTGAAGTTGCTTTAGAAGATGTTTATAATAACAAGGTTATGTATATTGGCAACAATAAAATTCAAATCACCTCAAATACCAAAGAAGGGGATGTTCTATGTTTTTCTCCAAAAGTAGTCAATGAAATTCAAAGAATAGTTCGGTACACATTCAAAAACAAAGAACACCGTCGTTTTAAAAGATTGAATGATTATGATCTAAAGACAGTATTGAAGTTCTCAACGAATTTAAAAGGGACTAGAAACAATATTACAATCAATTTCTTAGATGGTAAGACGTACACCATATTAGAAAATGTTCTTTTACAAGCTGGCGAAATGAAATGTGAAGGATTAGGTCTTTGTAGTGATGTATTGTTGAATTCTTATGGTGATTTATATATAGAAATACAATTCATTCAAGACAATAAAAAACTTACCACACCAAAGGTTCAAAAGAAACTTTTAAAGTAATTTTATTAATATGTGTTAATTCTTTATTAGTTTAATTTGGCTTTATAATAAAAATATTATAAATTAATACTTTAAATAATAATTAACAATTGATAAAATAATAAATATTTTGCTAGTAAATATATTATATATTATAATAAACACTAGTTTTATAATTAATAATACTTTTAACTAATGAATCAATCTATTTCTTTATAAATAATATTTATAATTAATATATGATAATAAAATATAATAATAAAACAGCAAAAGAAGACTACGAAAGGACTCAATTAGAAACGGACTTAATGGCAAATTCAAGGGATTGGTCGAGTTGTTCTTGTGGGAACTCAATGATGTGTTTAGTGTCCATTAAGAGCTGAGCAGACTCTCTGGCTTCCTTAATATCCTTTTCAGCGATGTCATAAACTTGTTGCCATGTGAGATCAGTAACTCTGGCGACTCCGTCCTTAATGGCTTGCATAGCGACATCAGCAGCTTCCTTTGGGAAAATGCCTGGCTCGTTCATGGTACCAATGATGTTCTCGGTGTTGATTCCTCTCTTCTCAGCGAAATCAGCAAGAGCTCTAGAAGCAGCAATGGCCATATTATCAGTGATCTTTCTTGCTCTAACGATCAAAGCTCCCTTCAAGATACCTGGGAATCCAACAGAGTTGTTGACTTGATTTGGGAAGTCACCTCTTCCAGTAGCGACGATGTAAGCTCCGGCTTCTTTAGCTTCATATGGGTAGATTTCTGGGACTGGGTTAGCGCAGCAGAAGACGATTGGTTTGGTACCCATTGATTTGATCCATTCGGGCTTGACAACTCCTGGGCCCGGAGTAGAGAGTGAGATGAGGACATCAGCGCCTTTAACAGCTTCTGGGATAGATGGGAATTTGGTTGGGTTAGTCTTCTCACAGATTTCCCACTTTCTATAGAATCTGGTATCCTTTTTAATATCTTCACGTTCCAAATGGAGTGAACCCTTAGTGTCGAACATAACGAGCTTCTTTGGATCAGCACCAGCAGTGACAATAAGTCTCAAGCAAGTGGTGTTTGATGAACCGGCTCCGATGAAGACCATTCTGCAGTCTTCGATCTTCTTGTTGACCAACTTCAAAGCGTTCAACAAACCAGCAAGAGTGACTGAAGCAGTTCCTTGTTGATCGTCGTGCCAGACTGGGATGTCGCATGACTCTCTCAAGACGTCGAGGATCTTGTAGCAGTTTGGTTGTGAGATATCTTCAAGGTTGATAGCACCGAAGGTGTGTTGGATTCTCTGGACGAATTCAATGACAGCGTCTGGGTCATTCTTGCCATTTCTCTTGGAGTCCATACAGACAGGGACAGCATCAATACCTCCCAAGTATTTCATAAGGAGTGCTTTTCCTTCCATAACTCCCAATCCTCCTGGTGGAGTCACATCACCGTCACCAAGGACACGTGTGGAATCGGAGACAACACCAACGAAGTTTCCTCTGAGGGAATAGTAAAGAGATGAATCGTTGTTATCTCTGATGTTAGTGGAGATACGTGAGACGCCCGGAGTGTAGTAAGCGTTGAACCAGTTGAACCCAGCCAATGTGCATTTTGGCATGATTTGGATTTTACCCTTGTAGAATCTGTGGACTTTCTCGGCAAGTTCTTTGTAGAATTGGGTCTTGGCCTTTGCACGTTGCTCTTGGGTAAGAGTTTGTGGAAGGCATTCTTCCAAATTGGAGAGGTCTTGCTTGAGTTGAGCCATTTGAGGTTTCTTTTAGAAAGATCTATTATATTGGACCCAACACGTCAGCACATCAATCATTTCATATTATCACGGCAAATCTGCATTTTTTTCTATTGGGATTAATAAGAAGATCTATAATAGAACAATAGAAAGGAATAGATCGGGTTATAAAGTACAATCCCGATTATGAGTTATAAAGTCGCGGAAACTGAAAAGTCAACGTGGCAAGAATAAAAAATGCCTCGAAAACAAATTAGCAAAAAATTTTTAAAAAATTCATTTTTGTTGAAAATCAATTGAAGTTGTTTTTTTTCTTCAACAAAATTTCATTGTCAAATCTTCGGGTTAATGGAAAAGACACAAAAGTGCACAATAAAGTTTCTTTGAAATTGTTTATAAATAATTTAATATATTTTAATTATATTAATAATATATTATTCACACATCACTTTTCTATTTCAAAAAATGCACTTATGGCAAATTAGAATTTAAAAAAACTTTTAAACAGTTTTCGTACGGTTTTTTGAAAGTTTTCCTTCATTTTTAACAAAAAAAACAACAAAATGGCAAGCAAAATTCGGGCATAAAGCTCATGAAGTTACTTGTTTTTCACATATCGTATTTTTAAAAATTTAACATTTTCGATTATTGTCTTTTCAACGAAAGTTCAATTCTTCCAAAAAATGTTATTTGAGTCAATTATTTTGTTATTAAAATGTTTTTTTATTTGTTTAAAAAATTGTTTTTTTTTCACCTTTTTTTTGTACTAAATAATCAGTACAACAAAACTATTAACTATAGTTTTTAAAAATGATACTGAAATAAAACTCGAATCATAAAAAGTGAATAAATAGAAAAAGAATTTTTACATCATCCAAATTATTAGTAAAATATTAAAATAATATAGATTAGACTATGAGTCCTTAAAAACCCTAAAAAAAAACTGTAAAAAAACTCAAAAAAAACAATTTGAGTTTTTTTGAGATGCCACAAAAAACAGTGGCATTTTCCGCAATCACATGGGAAAAAACAATCACAAAAGTCATTTGTTTTTACGAAAAAAAGACCCAATGAAATTTGAGGAAATTTGCAAACCGGAAGCAAAAGTCAACAAAAATGATGACCACAAAAACTCGAAATCAAATTAACTAAAATGAAACTAGTAATACTAGATGTCATTTACAAACACGCAACACCAAAACGGCCTTGTTGAGCGGATCCTTCAACGGGTGTGCGCGATGCTCAACGATCCCACTCATACTATCGTGTTAATGTGTTTGCAGACCTCATCGTCATATAAAACCGAGAAGATGATATCCGAAGAGCTTCAAATGCCTTTAACCAAAGTGTCTACTGCACTCCAGGCGCTGAAAGAGGAGCGCTTGATAGAGTCCGACTCGATGACGGAGCGGCTTGGAGAACGGAGAAAAACGGTCTATGCCTACTACATTAATTACAAAGTAGCAATCGAAAACATCGTCTTCAAGTACGCAAAAATCATGACGGAACTCAACGAGTCTCGGAAGTTTGGTGAAACACTCTACTTCTGCCCGTTTGTTGTTTCCTTTCTCTCTTTCATTCATTTTTTACACACGACATACAATACTCTATATATCAATGGGCTCGATTCTTTCATTAAAATATAGATAATCTTTATAAAAGATATTCATAGTACTCTGTGGTAAGGGTTTGGGTACTTACCTTTAGGAAGTGTCAACAACGATACACCGAAAGTGAAGCTATCGAATACACGGACCTGAGCACCGGGAGGCTACTCTGCATTGAATGCGATATGCCCCTTCAGAACGACACCGAAGACGTCTCGCTCCAAGCGAATTCGAAACTTCGAGTTGTGTCAGAGCAGTTCAAGGAGCTCAGGGAAATGTTAGAAATGCTTCAGTTTGAGTATCACAGCACACAGGACTACCCAATATATACACGCCCAGTCAATGAGACCGCGCAAACTGTCTCTCACAAGAGAACGTCGCATAGTGTTCGGGAAAGGAATTATGTTGGAGGCATTAACGGTGGGTTTGTCACTCGAATCAGAGACGGTCCCATGCCTTGGGAAGATGATGACTTCGAGCAGCCTGTAGTTCAATTGTCGCGAACACCAATGGAGGTGGTGAACTATGACGACCTCTTTGAGAACACCGTCTTCATGCAGAACGAATTTCTTCACCCGGACGAGTCTTTCAACATCAAAGAAACATCTTTTGTTCCAAGCTCACTCAGTTCATCACCAGCTGTTGCTTGCATTCCAAAGTGCATTCATTTTGGAAAGAGAGGAACGAAGAGAACGATTTCACGCTCCATCTCTGCGCTCCCGCAACAGTACTAGGATATAAAATAATTGTTTATCAATTTGGGTTGTACTCTTACTTCGAGAGAATAAGAAGAATAAATAGTGAAGGAAACGAACTAGAAAAGTAGAACGGATGGAGCAAGTTGAGGAACTGTTGAAGAACATCACCGAAGACAAAGAGGCGGTTGCGAATATGAAGAAACTTGAAACGATTGTCTCAGACCAACAAAATACACAGGGGAAGGCATTTTTGATCCAAAAGGGATTCATCGAGTTTGCGAGTCAACGATTGGCGAATTATAAAGAACTGCGGAGAGAATATATCAGCGGGATGTGCTGCTTACTTATTGCTGTTTTAACGTACAGCGAGATGGCGAAGAAAAAGATGGTGATGAATGGAGTCTGCGACACAGTGTGTAAAATCATACATGGAGTGAAGTATAAAGACGCAGAGATGACGGATATGACGCTCAACGACTTGATCCGATTGTGTTGGGGAGTGATGACGGTGTCGGACTTTACAAGTCGAAGGAAAATCATAACTAAAAAGAACGTGAAGGATGTGCTGAGCTCGTTTTCAAGGATTTGTAGAGACACGACGGCGAGTGTTGCTATAGAAATGATGGCGGCGATTAGTATAGATGATGCGTGTATTGTCTTGTTCCGCAGCGCACACATGATAGAGGAGTGTCTTCAGCTGGCGTTGAGATATAAAGAGTCGAAGAGTGTGACGAAGGCGATTGGGATGTTTATAGCGAATACGATATACTCTGAGGACGAGTATTCTATTGGGAAGCAGTTTGATGTAGTCAAGATCTTGTATGATGGTGTGAACACTTTTGGGGATGACGAAGAAGTTTTAGAGCAGCTGATCTGTGGTATTCGCTCCGTATCAAATGCGAGTGAGGAGGCTAAAAAGACTTTATTAGATAATGGGGTGTATGTGAAACTCCTCAAATGTGGGAGAGGGAAAGGCTATAAAACAGAAGAGCGACTTATGAATATGATAGGGATCATTACACGAGATAAAACCATTACACAGCACCTTATTAGCAACGGATGTATTGATTTCATCTATAATGAACTGAAAGATGTGAATGAAAAGAACGCGGAGAATGAAACAATAGTGAAAAAAAGTCTTCCAATGGTCAAAAATCTGTTGGGGGTGTTGATGAATGTGTGTTTTGAGGAGGAGTGGATCACAAAGGTCTTTGATAAAGACATTGCGGGGGAGCTCCACCGAATAGCAATGAAAACGATTGATAACAAACAAATCCAAACATCGATCTGCTGCATAGTACAGTGTTTAGCGATAGATAAAACGAGTGGGAAGAAATTATTAGCGAGTGGATTAGTGAAAGATGTCGTTGTAGGGTTTGAAAGGCACTTGAAGAAGAAGGAAGTTGCGATGAGTGCGATCAGCGCGTGTATCAATTTGGCACAAGACCAAGAGTGTGCCAAAGCCTTAGTGGAGTTTGGGGTAGTGGACAAGTTCCGAGTCTTGAATGACCGATTTCCGGATAAGCCGAATTTGACGAAGAAGATGATCACCGCAGTGATGAATATATTAATAGATGACACGGCATTGACGTATGTGAGTGAAGTGACGATGCCGCTCATAGAAAAGATAGTGAAAGAGAACCCCACTGACGTTGAAATTGAGTTAAAAAGTCTCTCGTGTTTAGTATCGATTGTGAAAATAGAGAAGAACGTTGAAGTTCTCAGCGGGATTGGTCGTATATTTGACGCATTAAATGTGAAGGACAAACAAGTGAATACGAAGATGATTCAAGTGATCTGTTCATTGTCCTCGAACAAAGAATTGTCACAGAAGGTGGTGGATGCTAAAATGGTTGAGTTTTTAGTTGCAAATGCGAATGAGCAAATTCGAGTGAAGGAAGTGGTGATTAACACTATCGCCTGCTTTATGAACTTCTCATGCTCTATACCACTCCACGACAAGTTGGCAATTCCTCCGGTATTCAAACTTCTTGGAAAAGCCGCGGAGGAACATTGTAATGAGAAACGAATTATTTGCTCCATTGCAAGTACAACAAAGAATCTGAGTATATCTGATATCGGCAGAAAGTCCATTGCAGCGTCGAGATTTTACACGACACTTGTCGATATCTTATCGAAACATAAATCAGACGAAGACGTGTTCAAGGCATGTATTGAGGCATTATGGAACATCTCGATCGACCCAACTGCTTGCGAACAAATGGCTAATTTCAATGTTATACAACTCTGCCACAAAGCACTTTCTGAGACATTTAAGACTAACACACCAGTCATTGGCGCTATCATTGGATTTCTATCTGTGGTGACGAACAACGAACAGGCTCGACAAATTACCAAAAAAGAATGCGCAGATGACTTAGCACATGTTTTAGTCCAAGACCCAACACTAGCGCAACGACTTGAGAAGTTAAGAGCAAAATTAGTTTGATTTTATATTTATTAATTAATTATTATTCTATTAATAATATAATAATAATAACTATTAAAAAGTATAAAGAAAACCTCAATTTAATTAGTTTTAGTAGCTTCTTTGATCAAGTCCGCCATAGTTGGGCAAACGGCTACAAAAGCCATGCAAAGCTGCTTTTTGAGAGACAACAACTGGTCGTTAGTCTCGAAGACGAAACCTTCCATTTTCAAGAGTGACTTGAACTGAGCTTCGTTGTCAGGGATGAACTTCAAAAGTGTTCCAAGAGCTTTGACTAAGAGCTGATAATAGTCTTGAGCGAGAGGAACAAGCTGAAGGCACTGTTTAAAGACGTTGATGTACAATGCTTCGATGGGCCATTCCCCAGCTTTTTTGGTCTTAATGAAAGCGGCACGTAACTCTTCCCACTTCTCGACTTGAATAGTTTCGACGCACATAATAAGGAGGTTCAAATAGATTTCTATTTTCGAGGAGTTGGTGCCAGAAGTGCTTAACCCCTTTTGAATTTCTTTCAATAAAGTGTCGATCTTTAAGTCGTAGTCTAAGAGGTATTTGTACATTTGAATTGCAACGGCACTCACCTCCGCATCGCCGTCTGACATTATCTTGTTCAACGTGATTGTTATTGGCAACACAAACGATTTCACCTTCCCTCTGTGATGCGCCGTCTCAAACAACGTCTGCAACAAATTGAGCAACTTGATCTTATGAGGAGCCTCACATTGCTTTGAAATGGTGTTAATCAAAGGCCCAATGATATAGTCTCTGTATACAGTGAATTTATCATCCTTCTCATACTTCTTAAGTAAAATGGCTAACGATTTGATTGCTTGTTCTTTGGTCTCCGTGAGTGCATTCTTCAGGGTGTCTGTCTCGATCCGGACTAATGGGCCAATATCGTCGGGGATGACAAATATGCCGCTCTCGGGGTGTTCACAAATTTCTTGTAAGAGTGGAGCAAGGGAGTTGATATAGATGTAATACTTCTCGTTCGTCAAAGTGGCGTGCATCGACTCAAAGCATTCCCAGGCATATGGGATAACTCCTTTGTCCTTCTCTGCTCTAATCAACCCGAAGATGAAGGAGATGATGACATCTACACCACTCGACGTCTGCGATTTTTGGGCTTTGAAGTAAGACGTCAAGATCTTGAGGGCTTCTATCTTGATGACGGGGCGTTGGTATGGTGACGTGTAATCTCCAAGGACGGTGAACATCTTTTCTTTTGTTGGGTATTCCAAGGAGATGTCGATCATCATTCTTCTAATCTTGTCGCAATATTCTTTGTCGGTACTCTTAATAACTAAGGAGTTGAATCCACGCTGAATGATGAGTGCAAAGTTGTTCAAGAAGAACGCCTGTGACGACTGACATAGCAAAGCAATTGTTTTGCAGTTTGCTACAGTAATAGGAGCTTGAACCACCTTTGGTGTCAAAGTCTCAAAGATCAATTCGTTGTTGTGGTTCTTATTAATGATCATCTGGAACCCTCTAATACCCTTTTGCATGTCTTCTGGTGTGTTAATGAATCCCAACAAGATGTCCAATATCTTTTCAAGTGCAACTCTGTCGTATTTGTGTAATATAGCCTTGAACAATTCATTTGATTCATCACGAATGGCATCCACTGGGTCACACATGATATCAACCAAGTTTGGAAGGACTTCCAAAAATGAGTCAAACGTGGTCAACTGACTCTTCTTAATGACTTGGACAAATCCATTGCACGCGCCAATTCGGTCCATTTCATTCGAACTCACCAATTGTGAGCGTAATGTCGTTAACAGCTCATGGACTATTCTATTCTCAAACAAATCAACTAACTCTCCAATGCATCGAGCTGCTCTCTTTCGATCAATTTCCTCAGAACACAACTTCTTCAAAGCAATCTGCATAATGTAGGGTATCAAATCACTAACTGCTCTCGCAGAATTCACTACGACTTTCTTCCAGACAAGCGTCGCCTTTTGACAGATAGCATGATCCTCATCAAATCTTACCACATACAAGTTCGCAAGACACTCTCCGATCTTTTCAAGCCCTAATTTTTTCTTCAGTAACAAGTACGGTTCTATGTTACTGTCGTTAGCCCCAAGCATACCCTCCAAAAGTTCGCCAACTAAACTGATTGCGCAGTCTTGGACCTTGGGCGCCTCACTATACATCGCATCATCAAGAACGCCTAATAACTTCTTCAAGTGTGTCTTCCCAAATTGCCTCAACAAGATACTTCCCGCTTGCATCGAAGCGTCACGGACTAACTCACTCGTATCACTCAACCCTTTCACAATAAGATAAATCCCATTCCCAATGAAATCACTGAATTTGTCCTTAAGTGAGAAGCAGAAGTAATACAACAAATACATCACACTTTGTCGTGATGTTGGTGCAGGGTTCTTCATGTCTGTGATTTGTTCAAAGTCTTGTTGTAAGTGTTCTTGGCCAACTGCTTTATAATACTCAGCAAGGCCTTGTGACCCTCCCAGGCGGTGTACGGTACTCTTTGTGGATTGCATCGTCTCCATGAACCATTGCTTAAGCCCATTGAATCCACTCTCCCCAACAAAGTTGATTAATTTCCCAATCGCACTACACGCGGATGTTCTTACTTCTGGGTCGTTGTCGGTGACGTTCTTCTTCAACTCTTTCATGAACATGTCGAGGTATGGCAAGAAGTCTTCGACCTCACACAGAGTAGTGAGGGAACCAATCAACACGCCCGATCTCGCTCGAGTCTTCTGTTTGGGGTCGCTCAGCCCTCTCACGAGAATGTAGTGGATCAACGCAAGTGAACTGGAGTCGATCAAGTGTGTGAATTGCATGTCTTCATATCTATCATAGAACGCTTCTGTGTTTGCTGGTGGGTTTTCCAATGCTTCCAGAATGAGTGGGACGAGTGTTCCAATTTCAGGGTTCTTCACAACAGAAGCAAGTGAGTTCAGTGCATTATATGCAGACGTTTTGACGTTATAGTCTGCGTCGATGACCAACAAGACCATAGGAGTGATGATCTCTGGTAAGAATCGATTGAGTTGATGAGTCGTTTGTTTCGCCATTTCTCCTATTAATATGCAGGCCATCTGCTTTTCTCTCCAGTCGTTTGCTTTCAGTCCTTCGACTAAATGGGGGCACACCATTCCAATACCATGATGGGTCAATGCTCCACTCATTGCTCGAATTGTCACAACTGCAGCTTGTCTCATGCTTTCATTTTGTTCGGAAACGATTGGTCTGACAATATTGAAGATGTCGATGACGTATGGCTCAAAGATGTCGCCAACCATCTCGCAAAGACATTCAAGTGTGATCAATGCAGTGATGTTGATGTTAACTTTGTCGCCTTGTGTATTTCGCCGTCCTTTATTGTCTGTGTCGAATGTTTCTAATGGCTTTTTAATGCACCTCTCGTAGAAGTGTGTCTTGTAATACATTTTCAGGCCTTGTCCTTTACAAATACCAGCAAGTACATATGACGCGCCATACTTCCCATTAGTCGTCTTCTGTCTAAGCCCTTGTGCATAGATTTTATCAATAAGTCCCTGTAAATTTGGTATTTCTCCAATCTGTGCAAAACAGTTCGACACGGCAATTTGGACGTTCTTCTTCGAAGTCATCGCCATCTCCCTCAGTTGTGTAATAGTCTCTGTGAACCGAGGGTTGTCTCTATCTAAAAACTTAGCAATGATCCCAAAGAAGAGGCCAATCATTTCTGATTCTCTCTCCGTCTTCTTTCTCTTCTCGTTTTTAGTTTCAGAGATAATAGTAAATATGGTTTCCGCCTCTTCTTTAGTTCTATTTTTAAAAATAGCTTCTCCATGTTCTTCAACCAACTCTGGAATTGGTTCTTCGTCCGCGGTGAGCTCTTTTAAAGCAAATGGGAGAACCTCTTTCAACATATCAACCGAACAAATCGACGCCAATTTCATCACAACAAAGACGCAGAATCGTCGTCTCAAGAACTTGCCGTGGATGATGATTCTGTCTTTGGGTATACCAATAACAAGTGAGTTGGATGGGAACGATTTGTGGTACACATCCATGATATTTTTGCACTCTAAGTCACAGTCGCACTTCCCCAATTTCACGATTTCTAAGATCGAAGCAGCGACCATGTCTTGGATGTCCATGTTCTCGTTTATAGCAATTTCATCGGAGCAATAGAAGTCAATAAACGACTTGTCTGGTACTCTAAAGTCTTCTGGGATGATCGTATTTGGTTCGGACCCATAGAGTCTAATGCTCTTCATGACGCTCAAGCAGTTTTCTCTGACCTCAGCGACTCGGTCATGTGCGCCTAACAACAATTTACACAACTCCTCATGTGTGATAGTCTTCCCTGTTAAGAATTCCTTTGACTTCTCAAGTGCAATTGCGTTGTATTTTCTCAAGTTCTCGTCTTCGTCGATCAAGTGGTTGAAGTATATTTCAATCGACTTGTCATCAGAGACCTTCGCCAATTGGACCAAACACGCCAAAGCCTTTTGTGTGAAGACGGGGATGGTCTCCAAGATCTTGTTCAGTAACACTACAACCTCCTTCATTGGGTATTTGTCGGTCATTACAGCGCAGTGGTATTGAAGTAATTTCATCATTTGATTGTGTGGCTTAGCAATTTCTGTGGTTCTGTCTTCTTTGTACACAGTCCACTTGAACAGACTCATCATAACAGTGAATGTCCCTTCGTCTAGTGGAGACTCTAAATCGTCTTCACATAAGAAGCTCAGTATCTTCTTCACGTTGTTGTAAATGATTCTCTCTTGCACCAAATCTTTGTCTTCTTCTTGGCATGTGTAGTCATAATCAATCAACAGATAGTACGTATAGACTAAATACTCTCTTTTATCCTCTAATTTCTCATCTAAACAGTACATCACATATCGTAACAGATTAATCGAATTCTCAGAGTCTTTCTCTTTCATTTCTTTACAGAACGAAACCATTTTACTCGTTTCAGTCACAAATAAGGTGCTAAATTTCTTTAATAAGTCACCGAATATAGATACCATTGCAGTCTTCACATCACCTTCTTCCACTTCTATGCACTGTTTCATCTTCTCATAAAGATATGCACCCGTCTCCTTCTCGTCTCTAAAAACTACCGCAAATTTCATCAATCGTTCAAACGCAGTTTCAAAGAGTCTGTTTCTTTTTCCTTCCTTCACAAATTGCACAGTCCATTTCGTCAATGCTTCAAATATCATTTCGAAGTTGGCTAATACAAATTGCTTGACAATTTCATAATTCTTTGATGCGGGGTTCACCACCTTAAATACAATTTTATTGAACAAATGGCGTCGTAATGGCAGTGCACACCCTATAACAAACAACATCGGAATATCAGACTCATCGATTTTGTCACTCACAAACGCATTCATTAACCCCATCACATTGCCCGTTATATATTCCTCAAACTTTCCTCGGTCTCCTCCAAACACTTTCACTATGGAATTGAAGATCAGATGTATCAAAATCGACGACACCGCTGTGGTACTTGTCTTCTTCACAAACGCCATGAAGTTCTTGTGTGTGAACAAAACGGGAATCAGCTTCTCCAAGTTGTTCTCGATATCTGCGATGTTTGCGACGCAGTTCAAATGAAGTGTTTCGAAGAGTAAAAGCGCCAGCTGTTTCTTATTTGCTTCGTCCATAGTCGACAGAAAAACCGGATTGACGTACACGTCCAACGCTTGTGCAAAACTGTGGTCCAATTCCTTTTCATTGATTTCGCACATTTTGACGTCTGGTTGTCTGTAATAAGCAAACAAGTATCTAAACCCTACAATCGTTGTTTTTGGTGTTAATTTTGGTGTCTTCAGATTTTGGACATTTGAAGCGAAGTATCCTGTCAATGGGAGTTGTGACATCTTCGAAGTATCTGGGAAGTTCAAAATAGCTGGAATAGAGTCGATCAGAACTGATTTGAATGGGTCTCTTGTTTTAGAAATGTCAGAGTAGAGACTCACTATCTTCTTTGGTAAAGTGTCTTGGAATCTGAGGAGCTCTGCGATGAAGAGAAAGAGCAACTGACGAAGGTCTTCATTTGTTTCTGTGAAGAGAATCGAACTGAATTTCTCGAAGAACTCTGATGAAATCTCTTTAGTCAGTCGTTGTGAAGGGAAAACAGAAAGTACTTTGGCTACAACAATTTTCATGAACACGGCAGTGCACGTCTTTTTGTAGACCTCGTGTGTTTTTCGAAGAAACAAATTCGCTTCTTCAGGAGTCTTTAGGGTTTTGCAAAAAGCACTGAGTTGGGAAAATGCTACTTGTCGTTTTTCCTCAGAGCTGGCCTTAATGTTTGGTTCGTTTGTTTTGTAAATTGCGTCGATGTCCTTTTGCAACGCCATACACTAATTCCATAGTTCTTTGCTATTTTTTTTCTGGTGTCGACTTAGGGTTTTTCAAGACTCATTCTTTCAGGCAAACTCTCACCTTTTGTTTTGTTCTTATTTTATTCGGTATATTTATTATGGCTTTCAAATTAAAGATATGCAAATTATTATACAAAAACAGAGGATGGTAAAGAGATGTAATCGTTGCATTGTTAATTAATTTATAGAGGTAACAAGTCAAGAACAAATGTTAATTAAGTCATTACAAAGACAGTATCAAACAACAAGATAATCAGTTTCGAAGAGTTTAATATTAATGACAGAGATTTGAAAAGTGTAATTGAGTCAAATTTGTAATTAAGCCTATATTAGTTGTTAATTTGAAAAAATATAATATTATATTATATATATTTTAATATTATCTGGATGTGTTTTATAAAATAATAATGATATATTAAATATTATTAAATGATTATTATTAGATTCAAATTATTTTTAAATAATTAATTTCAGACTATTGTATATTTTAGTAAATAAACAAAAGTAATAATATTTATTTATAAAATTATATTATATTCTAGTTCTTTATTACTAAAAATTCAAAACCAATATCTTCATTTTTATTAAATAATCTGTATGTTTTTAATAATTTTGAATTAATAAAAAAATAGTTTCATATTTTTAACTATTTTTTAAAGATCTTTTTTTCTTATAAGATCTAAACCAACTATTATTTTTTAGTATTATAATTAATTTTATAGAGATGTTACTATTTTATATAATACATTTATTATTGTATTACTTAAATTTTTTTTTTAAAAACACTTTTAGGCAAAACGAGTCAAATTGATATATTTGTCACCAAAATAATAAGTATTGAGTTATTTTTAAAATAGGAAATATCTAGAAATTAATACAAAGTAGTAATATTGAAAATAGAAGAAACTATTTTATAATAACAATCAATTATATAACAAACCAGAAGAATAACAATACAAAAATTCAATTTTTATATTCAGAAGATATGGTCGACATTGGAATCAAGCTCGAAGGGGAAGAGAAATATCCACTGACGTACATCCACACAAAGGAAGGGACAAAGAGTTACATCACAGTCAATCAAAAAGAAACATTGAAAGGTTTTGTCCACCTCAAAACACAAAAGCCTTTTCAGTTCACTGGGTTGCTTCTATCTTTTTCTGGGGTGGTCGGTTTGTTTCTATTTATAATTTATAATATAAAAAATAGAAAGACTGAAGCACTTACTTCTAGATATTAATAACTCGTCAAAGGTTTTTCATGAACAAAATGTGACCCTTTCCCCTCCTTCTATTTCTACAACCACCTCATTCCCCTTTTCAATCGACTTGAACGCTCCAATAGACAGTTACTCAAGTAGCAACGCCACTATATCTTACATCCTCAAAGCTTCATTCCTCAATTCCTCTTTACGGACTTTTGTCCAAGGTTCTTTCACGTCCCAAAAAGTTATTTATGTGAAGTCCTACACCCCCACATTACAAGGGAAAAAGTTGAACGACTCAGTCAGGCACTCACAAATGCAACTCGACTTTACTTTAGACTCCAACACAACAACACTCAAGGGGTATATCTCAGGACACATCTCATTCGTTTCTTTAAGTCCAGAGACTTTTGTTGAAAATGTGAATTTGATACTCGTGAGGAATGAAGTGATCAACGGAAAGACAGTGACAACAAAATTATTCACTTTAGAAGTGATCGACGGCTCTCCTGAAGAACCCGTTGCAGTCCCTTTCAAGATGTTTTTACAACCGCTTCACCTCGCACCTTCAAGTTCTGTTCCCGTTGCGTCGTTCTCTGTTGGGTATCAAGTCAAACTCTCTATAGAACTTCCAAAGAAGCGACTCTTTAGAAATTACGACGTGACAATCACGCGTTCTAAGACTCAAAAACAGAAGAAAAGCCATAGAGAGAAGAAAGAGAGGAAGCCCAAAACAAAGCAACAACTTTCTTCTTCGGACTTCGACACTTCAAAAAGTTCTGAAAGTTGGAGTAGTCTCAATGACTTGTTGGTGCTGAATTCTTCACATAACACAAATGGAACCCCCCGCTTTGTCGAGTCGGATTCGTCACAGTCGAGTCTTTGTTTGAGTCAAAGTGCAGATGTCGAGCTTGGGATACCCCAACCCGACTTAGATGAGAAAGAAGAGGATGTAGCATAAGAGATGGTATAACTCCTGTGAACATTTTCTTATGAACATCTTATATTTGCTATATTAAATACAGTTCGTATTGTCATGTTTCGCACTTCTATAGAACATAAATAGACTGAAATGTTTCAATTTGATAGAATAAATACATCAGTTAGAGTGACCCACACCCTTCAGCACCATCGTGCGTGCAAAACTCTCCCCCATCTTCACAATACCCACACGTCTGTGTTGTACCGCACCACCCACACTTATTGCTCAGACACGCCGTTTCTGTGGGTTTTGAACTGCACGATTTGAATGTGATATGATCAAAGTGAATGTGAACAAGCCCAGAACACTTCATTTTGAAATTCACAACAGTGGTGGGGATGTCTCCTGAAACAATGCCACGTACATAAATAGGTGTGCTCAGCCCTTTTGACATCACAACGGTCAAATTCTGAGGGAGTTGAATGTCGCTGATGATTTCCGGATTGAAACAGTTCCACGGAGGGGACGTTAACGTGAACGGTTCGATTGGTTGATTTGGCGTCACTTTGACATTGAAACTCTTCTCCTCCCCATTAATTGCAAGAAACACAAAAGCTTGTTGTTAATCTTTTTGTATATAACACGCAAAACAAACGCTGTAAACAAATCAGAACAAGTGTGCAAAGCACTGTTGAGACAAGAAACACTGAAAGTAAGACTACTAAGTACTTGAAGTTCCATTTGATAAATGACGACGAGTGGAGGAAGTAAAGAAACGTCGAAATGAAGAAAAATAACACGATGTAGACCCCTGACATGATCAATCCGCCATATCCCATTATTAAAGAGATGGCTAAAGAAATGTGGATGATACTAAATATCACAATCCACGTGATAAACTGCGAGTGCCGCCACTTCCCTACAAACTTTCCTGAATTGAAAAACACATTTAATTCCTTCCTCTTGCCGACTACAACAATCCAGAG